TAAATAATTTCATAACCACGAAAATAACCAGCGAAAGCACTGAAAGAAAAAAAACAAACATAAAAAGGTGTATGTGCCATTGTTCTTAGAAAAAAATGGACGTTAAAGAAAATAGGAAATGATTCGAAAACAGACAAGTTGAGTCTTAATACGAGCATCATTGATATGTTTGATTAATTTTATTGATCTTTGTAATAGAAACGAGCAAGAAATATGATGAATGAATGAAAGTTCTGAAGATCAAATGTAAGCAACATTCTAGAAATGTGTAGGAGCGTTCAAATCTTATTATCGACTGTTTATCTCAGTCGTTTCAAATTTGGAGTGAATGAAAGCATCTCCGGATAAGTGACTATTTAATTTCCTGTTCACAAAGACAAAACTAGCTTGTTCAGCCATCTCTCTCTCTTTCTCTCTCTCTCTCCATCTCTCTTTCAGCAGAGCAAAAAAGAAGAGATCCAGATCCAAGCTGTAGAACAGAACTGGGTTTCTCAACATTACCCGAAACGAAACTCATATGTAAATTGGCTTCTAAATAATAATCCGTCTTGATACGTCGTTGTGCGAGAAGAAGCTTTAGAACCCATTTGTTATCTTTATCGTCAGGGGGAGCTTTCATTCACGTGGACAGATCTTATAATGTTCATCTGTCAAAATGACAATAACTCGTTTCCAAACAGCTCCTGCGTAATACAGTTCACCTCTATCGTACAGACGTACGACGCCAACTGTACATCGCAATAATAATTCAAGAGTCTCCGAAAGTTTTTTTTTGTTGTTTTTTTTTTTTTACTATTGAAAATTCCATTCAAACGACTTTCTGCTCAAACCCAGAAGAATCCTATACTTGACGGGGAACCAGACGGGAGAGGTGATTAGACACTGGGTTAGTACTACACGATGGAATAGCTTTAGGTGTTATACCAGAAGATCCTATACTTGACGGGGAACCAGACAGGAGAGGTGATTAGACACTGGGTTAGTACTACACGATGGAATAGCTTTAGGTGTTATACCAGAAGAATCCTATACTTGATGGGGAACCAGACGGGAGAGGTGATTAGACACTGGGTTAGTACTACACGATGGAATAGCTTTAGGTGTTATACCAGAAGAATCCTATACTTGATGGGGAACCAGACAGGAGAGGTGATTAGACATTGGGTTAGTACTACACGATGGAATAGCTTTATGTGTTATACCAGAAGAATCCTAAACTTGATGGGGAACCAGACAGGAGAGGTGATTAGACACTGGGTTAGTACTACACGATGGAATAGCTTTAGGTGTTATAATATTTTAATGTCTTGAAAACAAACAATCGGTCTTGCTTCATCTATAAAGACGCCAAAGAAGCTTATAATTTAAAATTGCTTTATACTCTGTGGTCACACAGCAAGGAGAAGGAAGTGGGAAGTTTGTTTAAAATGGCTTTATACTCTGTGGTCACACAGCAAGGAGAAGGAAGTGAGAGGTTTATTTAAAATGGCTTTATACTCTGTGGTCACACAGCAAGGAGAAGGAAGTGAGAGGTTTATTTAAAATGGCTTTATACTCTGTGGTCACACAGCAAGGAGAAGGAAGTGAGAGGTTTATTTAAAATGGCTTTATACTCTGTGGTCACACAGCAAGGAGAAGGAAGTGAGAGGTTTGTTTGTTTGTTTTGAATTTCGCGCAAAGCTACACGAGGGCTATCTGCGCTAGCCGGCCCTAATTTAGCAGTAAAAGACTAGAGGGAAGGCAGCTAGTCATCACCACCCACCGCCAACTCTTGGGCTACTCTTTTACCAACGAATAGTGGGATTGACCGTCACATGATAACGCCTCCACGGCTGAAAGGGCGAGCATGTTTGGTGTGACGCGGATTCGAACCCGCAGATTGCGAGTCGAGTACCCTAACCACCTGGCCATGCCGGGCCCAATAAGTGGGAGATTATTAGTGTGGTATGTAATAATTTAGGTTATAATTATGTAATTTGTGCCAATTATATTCTCATTTTGCTTTGTTATATAGACTGGCTCGATATCAACTTAACTAGGTTTTTATTGAATGTGATAAAAACGTGACTGGTGTTATTAATTTTAGAGCTTTCCTATGATAGAGGAAAACTTTATTGCATGAGATGACAACCTGAGTAAAGGCACGTGTCGGTTGCTTTCCTTTTGTTATACGCTTTCCAATAAATAAAAATATCTTTCAACTGTCATCGAGAGAGTACAGATACATTCCCTGTGGCGCTTTCCTAGAAACGACTGCTAATGTTAGTTCGGCTTCTGGTTACAGGGGTTCGATAAAACGGGGCCTTAGGGATTGTATTCTGACCAGCGGTCAAACTTTTAATTAATGTGAGCATTAAATCTTGAAAATAAATCAAGGCAACTTTAAGACAGCACCGAAAACGTTTTGTTACTGCAGTTATTCGTAACGAGGTGAAACAGACGCGTGTAAAACGTTTTGTTACTGCAGTTATTCGTAACGAGGTGAAACACACGCGTGTAAAACGTAGCCACGAACGTTAAGTAACTTTCTTTTGTTCAGTTGTACTTCAGTTACATATTTGTTGATTTTTACTCAAGCTAAACTTTCCCTGCGTTATATTTCAGCGACATTACTGTGACTTTTACTGGAGCTAGGTTTTTTCTTGCGTTGTCTTGGAGCTACATGTTAGTTGACTTTTACTGAAGTTAATTGTTTTCTGTCCGATTAACCAGAATGCTGCGCACAGATTATTGTTAGGAAAACGTTGTGTGCTTTTTTTGTGTGTGTGTCCTTAA